ATTTGGTCACTGGTCCACATTTTGTTACACATCTGTTACCTCCCATTTTTTAATATTAACCTATTACAGTGACACTTTTCTCATCAGTGGTATTTAAAATTCTCAGTATTTGATAATTAATTGACTATTTGTTGGGTTCAACTACCTTTCTTTATCTCCTAGTCATTACCTAACCACACATTAATTTATTGTTTAGAAATGTACATTCTTCCAGTCTAACTGGTGCCACTATTCTAAGTTTCACTTTAATCTTAACCACGTATTCCCTATGGAATCTTCCCATTTCCTCCTTTAATGGTTTACTTAATTTTTGTTTATAAATTTCTCTTAATTATATAATTCCTCCTGAACATTTCTCCCCTTCCTCGACATACACTGTCTAAGTTGTATGCTCGAAGTCACCGTTATTTCATTTTACAGTTAAAAGTACATAGTTCACTAATTCCTTTTAATTATTATTATTATTATTATTATTATTATTTTTTTTTTTTTTACTTAACTACAATTATGTTTCAATGACTACTACACATTTTATATACATTACTAACCTCTTTATGTTATTAAGGCTATCATTTACCATGCTTATACAGTTACATATTCTTATTGTTCATTTTCCTGTATCTCCAATAGACATATTTTACATATTGGTCTCACAAACTCTCCTTTTGCTGTTTTTACTTTTACTGCCCTTACATGCCCATCTTCCCCCGGGTAAACATTAATTATTCTCCCTAATGGCCAATGTCCTCTAATAGTGTCTTTTTCTAATACTAATACAATATCATTCAATTGAACATCTTTTTTAACTTGTCTCCATTTTTTGCGTCGATTTAGAGTAGGAATATATTCCTTTAACCATTTTTGCCAAAAATGCTTGACTAACTCTTGTACTCGTCTCCATCGTTTTCGAGGAGAGAATTTTGTTGTGTCAGTGGCAATTTCTGCGGCAAATCTTCCCCCCATTTGTCCATGCAGAAAATGGTTTGGTGTTAATGGAACAATGTCCTTTGGATTTGCAGATTGATAAGTCAATGGTCTCGAATTTATTAGTCCCTCAGCTCCCACAAACGCTGATAATAATTCTTCATCTGTGACGTCGGCATTACACAGTATAGCGTTGATCGCCCTTTTCGCCGACTTAATCATACTCTCGTGAACACCACCAAAGTGTGGGGCCGATGGTGGGATAAATTTCCATGAAACACCTTTATCAGTTGTAGTCTGTTGAATTTTATCCTAATTAACAGATTTTACTTAACTCTCTATTTGCCCCTACAAAGTTTGTGCCATTGTCGGAAATCATTTGTTTTGGCATACCTCTTCTGCTCACAAAACGATAAAAAGCGTTTAAAAATGTATCCGTGTCTAAACCATACGCCATTTCCAAATGCACTGCTCGAGTGGCTACACATGTAAATAAGCATAGATATCTTTTGGTTTTGGTTTTTCCTCTCCCCTGCCGTGTTAAGAATGGACCTGCATAGTCTACCGCTACTCTGTGAAAGGCTCTCATATTGTCCATATTCGACCTAAATTTAGGCAGGGGTGCCATTATTTGTTCTCCACCTTTTGCTTTTCTACGTTTGCATTCATTAAAATGTTGCTCATACTCACGTATTTCTTCTCTTGCACTTATGATCCAAAATCTTTCGGACAGTAATGCTAAAGTGTGGTCTGTCCCAGCGACATGATGTCCGAGTTCATGATACTTTTTTACAATTAGCTTTGTCACCTGGTATTTCCTAGGTAAAATAATTGGATTTCTCACATCATAAGGCAATGATTCATTTAGGTCTAATCTCCCTGATGAACGCAATAGTCCGACGTCGTCTATTTTTGGGTTTAAAGCAATTAACACATTATTTACAGACATATTTTGCCCCTTTTTTATTTTCTTTATTTCCTCATTGAATGCCTCTTGTTGCGCCGCTTTAATAATTAATTTCTCTGCATCCATAAACTCTTCTGGATCCAATTCTCCACATTTTCTGCTTTCACAAGATTTTCTACAGTTAATAATAAATCGCATCACATAGCCCTCGATTCGAACTAATTTGTTCCAATTTGAATAACGGGCTGGATTTAGTCGAAAGTCCTCCTCCATATTTACAAACACATTTCCTAGAAAAGATTTCACAGATTTCCTTATTTCCACTTTTGGTGTATCCGAATCAATTTTTGAACTTGGCCATTGCCCTTCAGGACACGTAAGAAATTGGGGGCCATGCCACCACTGTTCATTGTTTACTAGGCTTTGTACACTTGTACCTCTCGATGCTACATCTGCGGGATTAAGTTTAGTTGGCACATGACGCCATTGATTTGGGTTTGTATGCTCTTGAATATATCCCACTCTATTCGCTACAAATGGTTTAAAAGCGCGGCTTCGCCTGTAATCCAACATAATGCAGTCATGCTATCGCTCCAAAAAATTACATTTTTCGAATCGTAGTCCAAAACATTTGCGATTGACTTCACAAGTTTTAATCCCAGCACAGTTGCCATTAACTCCAATCTTGGAATACTCATTGTTTTTTAGGGTGCAACCTTGGTTTTTGAAGCTACTAATCTAATGGTACACGTATCATCTTTTTTACAACACAGATATACTACTGCCGCATATGCATCTTCCAACGCATCAACAAAAACATGAAGTTCCACTCTTCCGTCGTTTATGGGTTGCAAACACCTTTCAACTTTAATTTTACTAAGTTCATCCAAATCTGCAAGCCAATATTTCACTTTATTTTCAATTTCATTACTTAATGGTTCATCCCAAGATAGTCCACTTGCCCAAATGTCCTGCATAATTATTTTTGCCCTTATCACAATTGGCGATATAAATCCCAGTGGGTCAAACAATGAAGCAAGTTTGCTCAACACATTTCGCTTTGTTAGAACACAGTTTATCTCAAAAGAAGGTTTTTTATACACAAAATTATCATCTTCTGCTTCCCAGGCTAAGCCTAGTGTTTTCACTGAAGGTAGAATGCTCTCACTGACATTTATTTCACTTGCTCTGTTCTCTTCTGGTATTTCATTTAATAACTCCTTGGAATTTGATACCCATTTTCTTGCTTTCATTCCAGCTAACGACTATAACTGTATTAATTGTTTATAAAGTTCACAACCAGTTTTTACATCAGCAACAGAATCCATACTG